CCTGTCCGGTTTTATCACCGCGAAGCCCATCGACCTGTCTCTTATACACATCTAGATGTGTATAAGAGACAGGCGTATGTGTGTGTGCGAGGGTGTGTGTGTGTGTGCGCGGTCAGGAAACAAGGATGTGACGCCTTAAAAGAAAAGGTTGCATGACTCGAAGTAAAAAAAAAAAAAAAAAAGGCAAAACATTCACCACAATTTCTGATTTTAATTTCAGTTTGAATGTTGTCGTTGTCTTCGAATCTGTGAGCAGTGCACAACAACGGTGTTGAGTCGACGGGAGGTAGAGGGGGAACGGGGGAGGGGGGAGTGTGAAAGGAACGCATGAATTAAGGACCAAGTATGCATCCTCTATCGGCGATAGGTCTTAACTGACAGTAATTCGTAAGACCTCGCACGTAGATGCAATGGAAAACGCGAATCACGTGTGTGACTGTGGCCGGCCTTTCATGTCATTGTGGACGATGAACTCGCACCGAGCGTGGGCATGTCCCTCCACTGTGGAAGAGAGGAGCATGACAGAAGAGATAGTTGGGGAGGTCAATGGCGGACCGTCGAATAGTGGTCCCATTGACCTGGTCAGTGGGGAAAGCCAGGAGGTTGAGCCCCCTCCTGATGTACAAGCGGACTGCGCATCCGAAGAACAGCAAGAAGAACACGTAGAGGCATTCGACAGCTCCCGCAAACTAGCGGCATTGATTTTCTCGTGTAGGAGCGGTGTGGGCATGTCCCAAACTGACGTTGACTGTCTGTTGTCACTCCTAAAAAATCCTAGATTTGACCCCAGAGATATCGCATTTCGTAACGGTCGTGAGTGTCTGACATGGGCAGGCCGCCGGGCTGAAGCTGCAGGGTGGCAAGAGAAGAATCTACGCAGTGATGATTGGCCCGAAGAAGCACATGTCATTCTGTGGTATCGCGATTGACGCACAACGTTCGCTGACCTCGTACGTGCTGCACTGAATAACGTTGAAACGGTGTCTTACCTCGAAATACAACATCCCGGGGAGGACATCGAGATCTGCGATTCTCGCAAAGGGCAGTTGAGTCACCATGTCCAAACTGTTATCAGAGCGGACAAGGGTGTGGACACGAATGGTAGAACACGTTATGTCATCCCTCTGTCTCTGTATTCAGACAAGACTCATGTAGACGGTCGTCAAAAGCAGACAGCGTATCCTCTGATGATGTCAATCGCCYATCGCCCATCAGATGCCACACTGCTTGCGTATCTTCCAGTGCTTCAACACCGGCCACGTGACAAGGGCTGGGGTCCACACTCCACCGCGTTTAGAAAACGGAAAACTGTGATATTGCATAAAGCGTTATCAACAGTATTGCAGTCTGCAAAGGAGGCATCCCATGACGGCATGATGGTAACAACGGAGCGGTTCGGTGAGATAACATTGCACCCTTTCGTCATGAACTATATACAGGACTATCCTGAAAGGTGTGCCCTTGCAACTGTGAAATTCGGTGTTTGTCCAACATGCACAGTGTCAAAAGACGATTTGGATGTCATCGCCGATTCCACCAACTGCAGGAGATCGCAGACGCTAGAGACGCAACTTGCCGCGGACTGCTTCAACAGTGGGGACAACGACATTCGCCGTGCTGCTGAGGCACGAATGTCAGAATTGGACATGCATAAGCATGTTCAAGAGAACGGCCTATGGGGATTCTACAGAGGTCCTCATGGTGACGATCTTGAACTAGATTACCATCTCGCTTTGCAACCAGACCATATGCACACCATTGAACACGACATTTTTTTGCATATGATAGATGCATTAAAGGCAGCTGCTTATAAGAAGTTGCCAGATACCACGCAAAGCGAGATATTGCACGAGATGGATGCGAGGTTGTAGAGCATCAGTGAGAGATCCACACGGACATACCCGCAGCCTGTGTTGCCCGTAGCCACAGGTTGTGATTTCTTTTTAAGGGAAGGACGATTTGAAGCGAAGCAAAATCGGTCTGTTATGACAGTTTGCGTGTTTATTATTTGTGATATCATCCCACGTGCGACAGACAAATCCATTTCCGCTTGTTTCATCAAACTCATGGAAATGTACATACACGTGTTTCGTAAGTCAACCCACACAGCGTCCTCTCTCGATGTTTGTGACACATTGATATGTGATTTCATAACTAGTATAAAAACGAAGATAGAAAAATATCAAACCTCTGATTGGAAAATTCCGAAGTTGCATGTCCTTATGCATTTGAGAACAAGCATAGAGCGATCTGGTGTTCCCGACACGTTCGCAACTGATGTGTGGGAGCATAATCATCAGAGGTTCTGCAAACAGCCATATTTATCATCAAACAAGCGTAAGGCTGCTTCCCAGATGGTGAATCATGTCCGACRCTCATTGGCTTTGCAGGATGAGATGGAGAGTGTGAGAAAACGCAGGAAGAGGTCGGCAAAAAATTGGTCATCCGTGATAGAGTGCATGGCCACCGGAAGTAATACCCTGGCAGTGGGCGACACAACAACTCTACAACTCCGGTGGTTCCAGATGGACGATGTGCATTTGTCAGGCGTAGAGGGTATGAGCGATGCGGCGTTGAAAATACTTAATGAGCTTCCCCGTAGAGAGGATTTTCGAGCTGCACTTACGACGTTCATGACAGAGATGGGTTGTCAACCTCCATCTGATGACCAAGTCATACACACTCGAACACACTTGACTATCGCCTGCACATACGACGGGACGCACAGGGGCGCAAGCGTTCAAACGGCAAGAGCTTCACCACAGTTCCACGGGAGATTTCCAAGTCGGTAATCGGCGTGACAAATTTAATTATTAATAATCCTGTCCGGTTTTATCACCGCGAAGCCCATCGACAAAAAAAAAAAAGAACAACCCGAACACGGCACAATCATCGACCATTCTTCTCCATTTCCTGGTTGCCGTGCTGACGTGGCGATCAGATGGACTTTGTGATCATGAACACGAAGGCCGCAAACAAAAAAAAAATTAAAAATAACAACCCGGACATGGTACAATCATCGAGCATCCTTGTGAATTTTCTGGTTGCGGCGCTGACGTGGGAATGACCTGCAGTTTGTGATCCCTGTTGTCCCCTCCTTCTCCATGTTCTTCTTGCCGCACGTGTTGTCACCGTAGGGTGAGCCGCTGGCTTGTATGTAATACGCTTAATGATGATGCGGGGATCGTCCTGCATTTCATGGTTGCGGAGTGTAAGTCCTTTCTCCCCTGCTCCTCCATCTACGTTCTGTTTCCTTTCTCATGCCTCTTTTGTCCCCTTCTTCTACATCCCCTACTTGCCGCACGTGTTGCTGCCACACAACGTTCGCTAATCAGTTGCTCTCTCTCTCTCTTTCTGCGTAGTGTGGTTCCTTTCTCCCCTCCTCCTCCATCTACGTTCTGTTTCCTTTCTCATGCCCCTTTGGTCACCCTTCTCCATCCCCTCCTTGCCGCACGTGTTGCTGCCACAGAGCGTTCGCTAATCAATTATTCTCTCTCTCTCTCTCTCTCTCTCTCTCTCTCTCTCTCTCTCTCTCTCTCTCTCTCTCTCT